GTAGGGCGTGATAAAGTTGCTCAATAATCGCTTCAATAACCATCGTTTTAAGTAACCACAAGACACCATATTCGCTCAAATCATGAGCGACTCAAAACTTGGGCGAGAATAAGATCATTACTTTGGACGACAATAAGACACTTCATTCGCTCAGATCTTGGGCATCCTGCAGGTTTGGGCAATAATAGTACTTTGTTTATGTGCCTCCGCTATATTCTACAATGGTCTCATTTAGACATATATCTTGAACTCCCTAACTGGGCTCCACTTCTTGGACCATTTAATTGGGAATCATTATTTGTATGTCAACAAACTATATCTTGAACTCCCTAACTGGACTCCAATTCTTGGACCATTTAATTGAGCTTTATTTTTTGTATGTCAACACCTCCCAATTGAGAAACTCACCAACACTCACCTATTCACCTTAACCTCTTCACATTCATTCAACCATTAAAATTTGTAAGGCCTATGATATTTTAGTATAGTTAATCCCAATTTCTCAACAAGTGTAGTGCTAGCCGCATTGGTACAACTATCCTCATCAATAATCATACTACATACCTCGTTGTTGACGTGGCATCTTGTATGAAATACGTTCTCCATTTGTTGCTCCAAATTATTCACTTTGATTTGAACATAAGAGCTCGTCGTGTAACCAACAGCTCTTCCATTGCATACTCCACTTTCTCACCATCACTAGCATCTTCCAATTCCGGCATGTCATCATATTCACCCTAACTATCACTCACCACTTTTTCATTGTCTCGCAAGATCATCGCTCTTTTGTGCGGACATTGAAAAGCAACGTGTCCCGATCCTAGGCATGTAAAGCATTTGATATCCCGATTCCTAGGGGGTTAGGATTCTGCCTTGGGTGTAGCTTTACTAGCAACTTCCTATTTTCCCTTTGATAACTCAGTTCTACCTTTTGAAACAATCCCATTACTTTTATTTTTATCCCACTTTGGTTTCCAAGAAGAGATAAGATTTGAAGAACTCGATGGGTAACTAGCTACTCATTTCTTCTTCAATAGTCTCTCCACCTTCATAGCTACATCTAGCATCTCCTCTAATTTCACATAATGTTGTAGTTTTATTACATTAGCTATCTCCCAATTCAAACCATTCAAATCGGGCCATGGTGGCTACTTGATCCTCCTCAACATTCGCACTAATCAGACAATGTCCATCTCCTTGTGATCTTCCACACTCCTATATCCCTATAGTAATGATTAGGAACCAACCTCTTCCTCATAATAACCTTTAATTTTCCCCATGTTTCAATAGGCATCTCATAATTCCTCCTCTTAGATGTAGCTATTTAATCCCATCAAATGATAGTATAATCAGTAAACTCAACGATAGCAAGTTTTAACTTCTTCTCCTCTGAGTAGTTATGGCAATCAAATATAAGCTCTATCTTCTTTTACCACTCCAAATATGCCTTCAGATCGCTATTCCTTTTGAACAAATGAATTGTCATTTTAATATTGCCCATATTTCTATCAACCCCATCTCCAACATAATCGCTAACCCTCCTATCATACCTATCTTCTCTATTCTTCATCCTTCATATTTCAGCCTCCACCAATGCATCATTATCAATCCCACTACCCACTTCATTTTCACTACCAATATCCGCTCTATGATCTCGCCTACCTTGTCTCCTTGTATTAGGAACTTCTCTAGATTGTTTCCTAAGCAAATTAGCAAGCAATGTATCTTGCCTCTCCATCTCCCCTCTTGCCTATCCATTCTACCTCCTATATCACTAAACAACCTTTCAAACCATCGTATCACCTCCTTCATCATGATGACTCGGCTATTATTCCTACTTGAAATATATTCGTCTCTGTTAGACATCCTAAATCTAGAATAATATCCGCGTCATGCGTATAGACTCGAGTATCACTTAATTTGACTTTTTTCCTCTATTAGTCTCACCACTCTTCCTTTTTCCATTTAATGCTTCCTTGCAAGTGATTCAAGGAATTAATTCGATCTCTATCAAAATTTCAACCTTTGTGGAGTTCAAACAAAGAATTGAGTAAGGTGATCTAGAATGACTCAAACAAAGAAACAATTATAGTTTTGAAAAATCACATCATAGTTTTGAACTATGTGGCCGCACAGGCTAACGACATGCGGTCGCATAGGTCAATCATCAACCTTCAACTAAGTTTCGGTAAGAAGCTATGCGGCCGCATGCTTATTTTCCCTATGCAGTCGCATATGTCTTCATTTTAGCTCCCTCATTTGCTGCTTGAACCAAGTTGATGCATCTTGTTTCATCCTCTATATCCAATATGAAACTTGTCATTTTACTTGTTGTGGTCGATGTTTCATCTACCATAGCTTAAACAAGTAATCACATGGCTTCTGTGACCTTCTTTCCTCATGATCTAGTCATTGGTCATTTCTTTACGATCAACGATCCTTGTCCTTGCTAACTCCCGTACCATGGTTCTCATTATTCCCCCTCTCGTCAAAAGGATTCATTCTCGAATCTCCACCCGCATCTAATAAGGAGAGATAAAAAATATTGAAAATAGCAGAAATGTTATACTCACTTGGAAGATCCAACTTATAGACATTGTCATTAATCATTTCAATCACTCGGAATGGTCAATCGCCTTTCGATTGCAATTTTGACTTCTTTTGAACTAGAAAACATTCATTTCTCATATGTACCCAAACTCAATCTTCTGATTCAAATGTAACGCGCTTTTGTCTCTTGTTTGCTTGAGAATCATAATGCTCTTTTTTTCTCGATCTGGCACTGTACCTTCTCATAGAGGGATCTTACCAACTCGACATTCTTTTTTCCATCTAAGCTACCTCTCTCATCAACGGGTAAA